GTTAAATCTTTAATGGTGTTCCCACGTATCTAGTGACTCTACTATAGTACAGAGTTCGAGCAAACACCATATCATATCTGGTGCATATAAACTGGCCGATCGCGAAATAAGGTAAGGCTGTTTATATCAAGGTATAACAATAAACACGACTCACAGAATTACTGGGGGTTTGGACTTATCCATCGTCCGGAATTTTAGGTAATAGAGGACACGACGATTTTTCAGAAACCGGATCTGTTTCCGTCTTCAGGTGAGAAAGGAAGACATCTACTCACTTGGGCCCCTTAGAAAGAGCTAATCTCAATCAATCCAGTGACTGAGGTCCAGGCAAAGTCTTGATCTCGAATGAGGTTAACATGTTAGCAGCGTGCAATGCATTCGAATGTCAAAACTGTTTCTGTTATTCTTGTGGTTACTTACGTTCATCGCCTCCATGTTCCTGGGCTCTTACGTACGGCCTCCGTGTGATCTTCAGAACACGACTCGTGTGGTGCACGCCCTGCAAACGGAATAGAATTCCCGTACTCAAATATTTTGTTACTAGCTCGAATTTCACAAATATAAAATTGTAGTTCACTCAGACACAAGCAAGTTATCTCATTGTAAGATTTGAGGTTTTCGGGGCGGTGACTATGAAGAATGCCCTTTTCTGGGATATGGTGCTGTATAGAACTTGTGCGAATTTTCCTACCCTGACGATGGAGGCGATACGTTCCTCCGAAACGTTGGTTCACACAAGATATACACGGCGTCACATTCGGGAAGACGGCATTCTTCAAGTTATCTCAAAACAAAAAAGAAAATACATCGTACCATATATATATATATAAACACGTTTCATTACCACGGTTAGTATAAAATATACGAGGGTTAAGCTGTCACTGACGTCACGATCCTAAAATTTTCCTCATAGGGGAAACCAGAGAAAGGCTCATCGAAATCAACGACATGTACATAGAATATCAATACAGGAATCATATGTGTTGCAGAATATCCAAGTTAAGAGAAATATATTCCTTATTCAGGGAGATAATTTTCTTTTCTTTGCGCTACTGCCCCAAATTTGAGCCTTGGCCTGTCTCCATGAAACTCTCCGTTTCACTTCGGTTTACTAGACCTCAGACATTCGGCAGAACTCCTTGGGCGGGTGATCAGCTCGTCGCAAGGCCTCTACCTGTACACAGACACAGAAAAACGCACATACACAAACACTAAACATCAATGCCTTGTCTGTGACTCAAACCCACGATCCCTGCTTCCGAGTGAGCGAAGACAATGCATGCCTTAGACCGCTCGGCTACCATGACCGACGAAATACAACTTAAAATGGAATTATTTAAAACAAACAGTAATTAAGATGTAAAAGTTTATGACGGTTGTACATTAATATAAATATTATGTTTCTGAATGTTATCCATCGTCATGTTTTTATCTAAAACAGGACGAGGAATTATGCCCAGAAATATAATAATCAGAAAAAACAGTATCGTTTAGTGGTTTCTTTATAAGGAATGGCGTGGTGATTCATTCATGTTTAGGCCAAAATATCGTTTCTGTTCCGAAACAGTTCATGGGAATGGCATCATAAATTAAGGAAATATCAGGATGGAGCCCGTCTGTAATTTACTCTACACAGTGTAATCATAAAGTAATTTTATGCTTCGGAATAAATGACATCTATCATATCACTAAGGGAGACACGCTGCAGCGTAGTGGGTTGAGGCACTATGTCACAAGCCGGAAGGTCACGGGTTCAATTCCCCATGTGGTCATTGGATTTTTCAATTGACCTAATACTTCCAGCTGCACTATGGCCCTGGGGTCGACTCAGCTTATAGCAGAAATGAGTACCAGGAATCTTCTTGGGGATAAAGGGCGGTCGGAGCGTAACCCTGACAACCTAACGGCCATCTGTGAGCCGAATGTCTGTCCTCGACGGCTCAGAATCCTATGGACATCTACAGCCTATTACAGGGATAAATTTCCTTCTTTTTTTTATCATATCAGTAAAGATATTCATACTAGTGTTGACGGAGGAATATAATAAGTGTAGACCCCATTCTACATAGGCATTCTGTGAAGATACATTTTCCAGCGTATTTCTAGGTGAGGTCTAATATATTCCCCGTTATTTGCGACCGAAGTGACTAATGGCATAACGCATACATATACATCAAAATCGATTATATTATTTTTTTTCTCAATACTCAAGTTAACAGAATGTACATTTTCAAATATGCCCTATGTTTTACATGGAGATGTAAATTCAAGCACGCATAGAAGCCTATTGTCGCCGTGTTATCTGTAGATATTATTGAGTTATTCTGCTGGTTTCATATTAGGTTCTCGGCACTTGTCTAAAACTGGTCTATATGTAAATTTTCTTCGTGCGTGTTTTCTAAACGAAATAAGTCTTAACATTCGTCTTGAAATTACGTCATTTCTGATGATAAATATTAACTACACTTCACATATATACTATCTGTTCTGAGAGACGAGACAAGTTACAACGAAACAAATGACTGCTAGTCCGCGGGTGGCACATTGCGTACGTGCAACGTGTTGACTATTGACAGTTCATCAGTAAAGCTGCTACAAATTTTAGTAAATTCACAGCAATCATCACCTGTTACAAAATTCTTTATGTATATGTGAGGATAATTCTGGTCTAAAATCCCGAAATTAACGGCCGTGGGGATTCGTTGTGCTGACCACGCAACACTCTCTATCCACTAAAGTTGGCACTAACCTCGCCGACAAGCGGCGGTCGCTCGGTCGGTATAGTTCGCTTGCGGACTAAAGCCACAGAGTTTTTGTGCTTATATGTCAGGATTATTGGAAACGTAACTGAATTGGACTCCAATCCGCCCATGTAACGGCAACATCAAAGCATTCCTCGAGATTACAAGAAGAATATCATTGCCATTTCTGTAACTGGTAATTTGGGGAAAAAAAGATATTGGGACAGACAAGCACAGAGGGATGGGTAAGAGCAAGAGTAGAAGTAACCCTGTAATAGATCAATTCCAGATGATATAACAGAGAAGGACAATCTAAAATGGGGGGCATAAACACAAGAACAACACAGAATTTTACATTCAACGATATGAGAACTTCATATAATCTTAAATTTAAAATATTATATTTAATTTTAAATTATTTTATTTAAATTATTTTATATTAAATTGTAAATTTTGAAACTTTTAAAATTAGAACAATTTTTGCAACTTCGTGATGGTTGTATGTATTATATTATTGTGATGAATAGTGCTAATATGGATCTATGTTAACACAATTCAATAACAAGAGACGTATTTGATTAGACCACCTGAAAACGATCCCAATTGTGGACCGAAATATGTAGTAAATATCAAATAAAACCAATGTGACCAGTTCGACTGATTTATTTTTACTGCTGTGTTGACGGCCAAATACAACTAATGAAATTGTGAATAAAAATTGGTCAAGTGATATTTCATAGTTACAAGCTCATAGCTAAAAAGTGAAATGCCCGCTAAACTTCAACGGAAGAGTGTAAGAGTTCCCATCTATAGCTAGGGTTTCCACTTCTTAAGCTTTGTAGAATAAGCACAGTAGTGGTATAAATTATTGCTGCTTTCGTTAATGTACGACAACACAATACCGACTGAGCCACCGTCGATTATTACCACCACCTTCTGGTTTTAATATAACTAACTTATGTCAGTTTTACATCTGGTTTCTACAGAATCAACAGAATGACAAACAATACTCAGCTTTGACTAATTATACTTATAATGGTATCATTTTAAGGCTGTAACGACATTACTTAACAGCTTATTAAAACCAGTAAAGAGTCCGAGATTCGAAACAAATATCAGCTGAATATAATTATATGATGATGCCGCTATTGTCACAGGGGTAATTATGAATTGTAGTACCTTTCTAAGTCTCTTCTCCATGTAATGCGGTAGAATTTTGCCTTCGTTTCGGAGGAACCCCCAGAAAAATACCACTAAGAAGAAGGCAACAAGACTAGCTTACTTTTAGACCCTCAATATGGGGGAATATGTTCCTCCGAAACGTCGGTGAACTACAGGGCTGCACAGTGATACATATAGTACTTCTAGAAAAAGTCCTGGCGTTAATTATGTATAAGGTTCATTTATATTCAATCATATATCCTGTTGTTCCTTCTAGAGAACAGGGCATTCGTGAAACGCTTTGTCTCATTTCAGTTTCATAATCTTATTGACGATCGGTAGGAGTCCTTGGACGGGGATCAGTCCTGTCGCAAGGCCACTATCTCCACAGGACAATACAACTTACTTACTTACTTACTTACTTACTTAATCCGTTCCTCTTATACCTTGCGGTGTCGAGATTGTTTTTATGTTTTATCATTTTACAGACGGTAGGACTCCCTGGACAAGAGATCAGCTCGTCGCAAGGCCTCTACCTAAACACAGGACAAGAAAAACACAGATTAAACACACACCAAACATCCATGTATTGTGTGAGATTCGAACCCACGATCCCGGCTTCCGAGAAAGCGAAGACAGTACTTGCCTCAAACCGCTCGGCTACCGCGACCGACAATACAAACATAGTACAAACGCAGACATACCTGTTTCGACTCTGATTCAAACCCATAAACCCAGTGCTTAAGCGGCCTAAGATGGTTCGTGTCTTAGACCACGCGACCACTCTGATGGGCTGCATATGGTTAACTTTAAACATTAGACGCATTAAAATTGATAAAACCACCGAGAAAATCCTTTAGATGTAAACGCTGACAACGGTGGTATCAGGCTTGTCTCATACGTTCATACATATCTGCTAAACTAGACGGCATTGATCACACAAGACCATAACATTAATGAGTTGACCGGTCTCTGGAGGGAGTCTTGAAGCCGGCACATCACGAGCTGACCTCTCAGCAGTGGTGCAGCCTCTGCAGAATGAATTCAAGGAAGTCACGCTGCAGTGTGGTTTCATGAGAATGTTCTTGTGTGCTTCAGGTTCCGTTAGAGCAGTGCAACTTTCGCCGAGGGTGAAGAACGAGGCCACGGACCTCAATTCGTCAGTAGCGACAGAAACTCGCAACATGGCTCTTCCGCCTCCTAGCAACGACGTTATAGAACGCGTCAGGGCTGATGCTGGTGTTAGCGAAAATAGGATTCAAGAAGACGTTAAGAACCTGAAGGAATGGCTGAAGTTACAGCCACATCTACCACATGATTATGGTAAGTCTTTCAGATGCCGACGAATTACCAAAACCGTTGCATGTAGCATAATGTCATATTCCCGTACTGTATTCGAGAGGTCGGTCTTGGAACTGCGGCTGACAAGCGGAAACAGAAAATCAGATTTCTTCAATGCCTTCAGGTAAGTCCTCCGTTACTATCTACAAATATACTAAGACAGCCTATTTATCAAGCTTCCTTCAACATACAATAATATATTTACATCTGTTTCAAAGCCGTGAAACGTCTAAAATTTAAACATTGCTTCCTCTTCTCGCTGTCTACTTCATGCTGGTTTCTTCATTGCTTTACTTTTACACCTTGAATATGGAGGCGATATTTTCTCCGAATAAGAGGGCGTTCTACCCCAGAAGACAGGAACTTCCAAGGTTGTTTCAGATTATAACCATCAGTATTCATTTTGTGACAATGTTAAATTAATAAAATTATTATATTTCTGGACATTATCCATCGTCCTGTTTTTATTTAAAACAGTACGGGGTTTTAAATAAAATCATGACGATGGATAATGTCCAGAAACACGATAATTTTATCAGAAAAGGTAAAGTTGTTACTGTGCTTAACTAATTAAGCATTAAGCCCTGATGGCGTATGAGGGAGTGGATGTATAAATACACATTTTCTTTTACCTCGAAACTACTTGGAGGTATGTGGTAAGCTTCACGCTCCTAACGCTTTATCCCCGGGGAAAGAGCCCCGGTACTCATTGGATAGGAGGTTGGGTGGACACCAGAGACAGTCTGGACTATTTAGAGAAGAAAAAATTCTTACCACCACCAGGACTCGAACTCCAACCACCGGATCGTTCATCCCGTACCCAGTCGCTATACCGACTGCGCTATCCCGGCTCCTATAATTTTATCAGTATTTATAATAAATGCACTCTAAAGGTTTCTGACAATGGTGTATAACACTCAAAATTACTGGGTTCTTGGACTTTGTCCATCGTCCGGTATTGTAGAAACTAGAAAACACAACGTTTCTGAAATTGGAAGCTTTTCCGTATTAACAAGTGATTGAGGTTAGCTCTTTGTAAGGGACCCAACAGAGCAGGTTCTTCTTTTATTGCTAGTTAGGTGGGACTAAGTCCCTTGTACTGCGGCCACTTCTGGCCTATTGTACCAGCCCCAGATGATAGGTGAGGGTGATTGTGGAGCAATTGGTGGAATGAAGATTGGCAGGGGAAACCGAAGTACTCAGA